CCGCGGCCTCTCTTGCAGCTCCGGGGCATGGAGGGGAAGGAGAGGTGAGCAGAGCCGGCCCCCGCGCCCTGCCCCGCGCCGCACCTTGGAGCGTCCAGCCTGAGGGGGACCAGCGATGCCTCTGGGGATGAACAAGCATGGATCTCGCTCTACTACCTCTTTGCCTCCGGACCCCACCGAGATCGTCAGGAGCAAGGCCTGCTCCCGAAGGGTCAAGCTCAACGTGGGGGGGCTGGCCCACGAGGTTCTCTGGCGGACCTTGGACAGGTTGCCGCGGACCAGGCTGGGCAAACTCAGAGACTGCAACACGCACGACTCCCTCATGGAGATCTGCGATGACTACAACCTGGAGGAGAACGAGTACTTCTTTGACAGGCATCCGGGGGCATTCACCTCGATCTTGAACTTCTATCGCACGGGCAAGCTGCACATGATGGAGGAGATGTGCGCCTTGTCCTTCAGCCAGGAGCTGGACTACTGGGGGGTGGACGAGATCTACCTGGAGTCCTGCTGCCAGGCCCGCTACCACCAGAAGAAAGAGCAGATGAATGAGGAGCTGAAGAGAGAAGCAGAGACCCTGAGGGAAAGGGAAGGGGAGGAATTCGATAACACTTGCTGTGCTGAGAAAAGGAAAAAGCTCTGGGACCTCCTGGAGAAGCCCAACTCCTCCGTAGCGGCCAAGGTAAGAGTTCCACATCTCTGTTGTCTACTGGCTCGACACTGGTGATGCTTTCCTGAGGTGTTGTCCTGCTGCCCTTGCTTTAGTGTCTGGGCACTTGTGGCTGGATGGATGCTGCAAGTGAAGGAGGGGAAGGCCTCTCATATACAAGTGAATTTCAATGGTTTGGGCTGGTTTTTTGGTGGTTTGGAAGGGATCTGGTTTGAGCATCCCTGGGGCAGCCTGGGCTGCTCAGTGTGGGAAAAGCTCCTCTGAGCAGTGGGCCAGCGTGCAAAGACTGCTGTGGCTGGATGTTTTAGACTTGTTACCCACTGGTCTGCGTTGGTGCAGTTTCTAATAGAGGTTTCTTTGGGCCTAAAATGTGTGTGTCCTCTTCTGCTTAACCAGATTGGCTTTCGAGAAGCCGCTTCTGCTTGAACTCAGACCCAGGTGCAGTGAGGAAATAATGCCTTCCATTCCAGGGCTTCATTTAATTTTGTTTTTAATTTTGGGTGGTTTTTTTTTGGTAGTGAAATGTATCTCCTACTTATTTGTATCACACACTCCTAGGCTGTGTGTCTGCTAAAGCTGGTGTTTAAATTTCATCCTTTGCCTGATTCCAGACTTTTTAAAGTCTTCCCTGTGCAAGTGATTCAGCTCTGTCTCTGTCAATAGCTGAAGTGCTGCTTACTCTGAAGTTGGTTCCAGTGGACAGATCTACTTGAAGGCAATTTGAAGATAAGATCCATTTTGGGAGAAACCAATGTCAGAGTTGGCTCTGATAATTTAGCTGCCTCATGTTAGTCACATTTTCTTTAGTGAGGAAAATCTCTGCGAACACAGTGATTCAGTAACCATGGGGACAAAAGTGAAGGGGGAGAGGTTGAAAACTGTGGGATGAATAACTGAAAAGCATGAGAGACTGAGCAGTAGGGACCAAAACTTGAATTTTCTAAATACCCACGTCCTCACTGTATGGCGGAGAAGTCACAAGAAGCCCTGGCTACCTGTGTAGTGCACCTCTCTGTACAAACACCTGCAAACACAGACCTCGGCTCCATCCCTTAGGGAGTCTGGCTTGGATGAGCTACCTGTGAAAACTGACTTCTTTACCTCTTTCTTTCTCTTCTCCAAATGCTGCACATCATGAACCAAGAGCGTGTATGAAGCTTTGGGGAAGGGATTTTATGAGGAGTGGACTGGCTCAGCCTGGCACGGGAAGGGGAGGCATGGTCTGCCTGCTGAACCCATTATCACTTTTTTAATGTCAAACAGAGCCCCAGAGTGTCTCTATCTCTCCGGTGGCACAGATGACACCACGATGAACACATTAATAATTTATAAGGCTCCTTTGGCACAGTCCTGGAATCCTGAAACACAGGCCCCAGGCTCTGCTGTCTGTGGCACTGACTCAAAATCCATTAGAGACTGTTGATGTTCATGATTTATTGTAGATGAGCAAGGGTCATTCTTGCCAAATAAGTGTCTTTTGTGATTTATAAATGAAATACTCTAGCTTCATTTTCTGAGAAAATTCTCGGAGTAAGTGCACCCGGCATTGCAGGCTCTGGATTAATTGAGAGGGAATGGAAGTGCATCATTACCCTTAGCATTTAAAGCTGCCATTCTGTGCCTTCATTACTGCAATGAAATAATGCTGTGTGATCTCAAATATTCCAGCAGTTCCCAAACACAGATTCCCACTCATTTCATGTGTTAGCAGGGCAAACAGGCCTGATGAACAATTAGCTTAGCAGGCAGGGACAGCCGCTCTCCTAAGCCTGTTCTTGATCCGATTTGCTCCCTGCTGGTGGATCCTTTCCCTCGTGCCAGAGTGTGCCCTCTGCCTTGATCACCTTCCCGAGAATTCAGTCCACATATTGACTAGGCTGGACAACTCCTGATGGAAGGACGTGGGGAGAGGGACTTGGCACTTGGTTATCTGACCTATCCAGCTGTGCCCAGCTCCCTTTTGGGCTGTGTGTGCTGAATCTGAGCCCCTGGCCGGCAGTCTCTGGGCAGCTTTCCCCAGCTGCCGGCTCAGCGCAGCCCTTGCTGCCTCCGGGAGCTTCTGTCCCCTCTCCTAAAGCCAGACTCCCTCTGCTGTGCCAGGTCTGGGAGCTCAAACTGTTCCTATGGAAAGGGAACAAAGTAAACTGTTGTGAGGTTTAATGTCATGCAAGGTCCTGGAAGTGCTGTTAGGGAAATATGAACTACTCTTGTTTATTTTGTCTCTTCAGACTTGTGCCACTCAGTGCAAAGGGTTTTCCATCGAACAAATACAAGGTACCTTCATGTTCTCTTTAAGAATTCCAGAAAATGGTTACAGGTGCAGCTTCTCCCCAAGCCAAACCAGGGTCTGTGGCTGTCAGCATTGGCTGGATTTCAATGTTTTGTGCACAGCGCCCCAGCCGACCCCTCCATACCAGCTTGCTCCAGGGTTATACTGGGACCAGTTAAGCAGACAGAGCTGGTTTTCATTTGTTTGGTTTTCAGGGATTTGGGTTTGCCTTTTTTTTCTTTTTTTTTTCTTTTTTTTTTTTTAATTCTTGGATTATTTTTGTTGGTTTTGTTTTTTATGGATTTTATTTTTATTTATTATTTAAATGGGACATTATGTGGCATACCCCAGGGTGTAGAGTGGCATTGAAATACAAGAAGAAGAATCCCCCAGACCTTAGTTTTTGTTGCTTTCTTATCTACTGGAGACTTACCCATATCTTGTAATTACTCTGGCTGGCTTTTATACCAACCACCTCATGGCAAGCAGGGTTTTATTTACGTGTGAGGCTGGAGAGAACATTCCTGGCTTTTCCCGTTCCCACTGCTGGAGCAGCCCCAGGTTTGCAGGGGGCTCTGGGGCCGCAGCCCCGCTGTCAGCCCCCAGCAGCAGAGGGCCAGGGCTCTGTCCCTTGGGGAGCTGCCAGCCCCACAGCACGGCCTGGGGGCCCCAAACTGGCTCCAGCTCAGCCCCAGTGCCTTGGGCTGGGGTCTCTGTGCTGCCCTGCACTCACCAGCCTGGGGGGAAACCCCTGTGTGCAAAATGGAGCCCTCGAGGGACTTGCCCTCTGTCAAATAAAAAAATACCAGGCAGCTATTAAATAAAACTCTGCCCTCATCTCCCTCTAACCTTAGAATATATTTTAAAGGACCTGATTCTCCCACTTCCTTTGTTTATTTGCCTGCACATCCCTGAGAAACATTCACTGCAGGCCTTGTGGATGCTTTCTCCTCTTCCTGCAACAACTGTTTTTGCAATTTCATGCTGATTTTTAACATTCTCCCAGTCTATCTTCATAGTTTTGGTGGTTGATTCTTGGTTTTGCTTTTTAAATAGTATTCTTCATATACTTTGGTGTACTCACAACATCCATTTTTAACCACAGAGGACTCTGGTGCTCACTTCTGTCATGGTTTACTCTAGGAGCTGACGAGGTGCAGATATTTTCTGGAGTAGCTCTTACACTTTGTTTCACAGCAGCTTTCCTTTTGTCAGGAAGGAAAAGCAGCTCTCCAGAAGCCAAGCAGAGCTGCTGCTTTTCCTCGGGGCGTAGTGTCCATGCCAGGGCAGCAGTGGTTAGCACTGCTCCAGCATTCTGGGTTGGGCTTTTAATCCTAATTGCTGCTTCCCTTGCCAAGGCTAAGCTTGGGCAGCTGGTTCCTGTCACCCCCAGCCCAGCTCCCAGTCCTGCCTTGCCAAAGTCCCTTCTGAAGCTGTTGCTTTCCCCTAGCCAAGGCTAGTTAGGATCCATGGCCCTTGGGAGAATCAGCCTCGCTCTAATTCCAACTAGACTTCATGTGCTATCCTGCAAAATAAAAGACTGCAGTGGTTCAAGCTCTCCAGTATAAACAAATAACAAATTAGACCAGCTCCACATCTTAGATTAACGTTTATGGTTCTAGAAATTCTCTGATCACCTGGACCTTTCCAGCAACTCTGCAAGAACATTGCCCTTTTTGTGTCTTCAGAGGAAAGTATTTCTTTTCCTCCTTTAGTCCTTACAAATGATTTCCCCGATCAATATTTGAGCAATTAGTGTTGCATGGGGTGTGGGGGGGGAAGTCTGCTCGTCTTACAGACTCCTCTGCATGTGCTGGCTTCATCTATTTTTCTCTTGCTGTCCTGAAGGCTGAGAAAAACACGATGACATCACCCACTTTGCAAAAAGCTTCTCTGCATATCTGCATGTCAAGTAGGATGTGCACTTCCTTTCCTCCTCGCTGCCTCCACTTCCCACTTGTCCCTGTCCTGTTGGGAGCTCAGCTGCAGTGATCCCTCCCTTCTGACAGGCTATTTCTCATCTTTTCCCCTGCTCCTGCTATGCCTTTGCCAGTGCAATAATATCACATTTATCCTTGAAAACATGCAACTCCAATTTGGTAATCTCATTATGCATGCCTCTACATCCCTTGAACAGCTTTTCTCTGCTGCCCACTGCTCTCTGCTGCTAATCTCTGGATGCATTGCTTAGGGACTGGGGAGGATGCTCTGTAAGCTCTTTTCTTATTATTGTTGATAGTAGTGACAAAATAAGAATGATAAAAGCCTCTTGGAGATGCATTTGCTACATCTAGAGCGTTCTTCCCCCACATGGGCTTTCTATTCCTGGCCCTCCCTTATGGTGTGCAGTTTTCATTCATCTCTAAACCTGCCTGAATTTAGCATTTGGCAGAGGAAACCCCTCTCCTGAATCACAAGGGTCACATCTTAGCTGTGTCCTGTCTGTCTCCAAGGGCCCCAGCACAGGGCAGATGTTGACTTTGACTATTAAAGGCAGATTGCCCATATTTCGCCTCCATCTGTAACTTTTTTTTAGTGTGATGCAGCTACTGCCTTGGCTTTTTTTGCTATATATAGGAGGCTTTTTCCCTTCATCCAAAATGAACTCATATCTTCAGACATCCTCAAAAGCAGAGCCTCATTCCAAAGCTTCTCCCCTGGGTTTGGGGATTTGCCACTTTGTTCTGTAGCTTCTCACTGGGCTTCTAGCACAGCCCTGTCCCATGGACACACAAGTGATCTC